AATCCTTAAATACAATTAAATTATTATATTTAAAGATTACAATTAAGTTATAATATCATCTTTATCGTAATAAAAGATATTGTAATAAAAAAAAGCCTTTGAGATTAATAATAAATTTTGGTGTTCGGACATAGGTAGGTGCATGTCCGGTCACTGGGACGTTTATCTCACTAAGATATTTGATGATTTTTATTTCTGGACTTTTATATTTGAAATTTTAATACGTAATGTTTTTGATTGACACCACGCATCACTAAAGTTTCTCGACTTCTATCGATTTTAAATGTGACGCTTATTTAATTATTAATTCGTTGGCTCTGTAGTGAAGATGACTCAAAACTATGGATTGAAACGTCTATTTTAGTCGTATAAATAAAAGATTTCTATACTCTATTATTTTGTATCAGCTTACATCGGCTTATTTTTGAAGTTTATGACCCAATTTGATTGCTTATAATTTTTATAAATATAACGGTTCACTAAAAAACATATTAAATTTTAATAAATATTTGAATAATTCTAAGTAAATATTTATTATATGTAAATATATATATTTATTTAGGATAAGAACATTAATTTGATTCAATTCTCGTTTTTTATTGAGTGGATATTTACTTATTGTAGGTAAATGTTTACTTAGCACTAAAAAAAGTAAATAAATAAAATTTAGTAAATTTTTTTAATGTACCAAGCAAATGCCATGTATGTATCTTTATTGATAAAAAAAAGTCATAAACAATGAAAAAAAAAACCATTGAAAAAATAAAGCCGTGTATGCCGTACCCAAAGTTGCATCGAACAATTTTATTATGCCGATCACGCAGCAATACAGAGAATTATTCAACGAAGTGCACTTCATAAATGTAACGAACAAAAGTATTCTTGTAGCGCGATTGTAACAATCTGTAAAAGATCTTTCAATTATGTCTTTATCGAGTCTATGAGTCATTAAAGCAATAGACGATATACTACAATTTTAGTTCAGCTTTTAATTCTCAGATATTCTTCTGTGCAAACCGCAATACAGCGTTTAACTTTTCCAGTAGTTCAACTCGGCGCTTCTTTCGCCAAGCCATTGGCGCGATTAACGTATATCCAGAAGCGAGGAGAGAAAAGTGTGGCGTTCCCGTTTCCCAGCGGGAACGATCGTTCGGTATTGTTGGATCGAGCGATACGTGCTGTATACCGACGTGAGCTCATTATCACAAGTTAGGTTGCCGTTCGCGATAACGACCGTTCACGGCATACAGCGAGAGAAAGAGAAAAAGAGAGAGAGAGAGAGAGAGAGAGAGAGAGAGAGAGAGAGAGAGAGAGAGATGAAGAATAGATGAGGAGGAAGTCGAGGCGAGAATACGAAATTGCCGTCGGCGGAAGACGCACGAAGAAAGACCGAAAGGGAGAGAGAATGGTTGAAGCGGTGCTCTCGAAGGGTGCCGGGGTGATTACAGAGACGCGAGAAAAGGGATCGATCGATCGGATATTTAGACGGGCGAATGGCAATATCGACAACCGATATCTGCTCCACATTCGAATAATAGAACCGCGCGAACGACGCACTAGGCATCTCTCCCCCTCTCCCTCTCCTTCCCTCCTTACCCCTCTACATCTCACTCTTCCCTTTCCATCTGTGCAGCAAAACAAAGACCTATTAATGCCACTTGGAAGACAGACAGCTGCTGCATATATGCTCTTCATGTCCTCCGCGCATCCCTATTCCCCGTTGTATCTTGCCCTTAAATGCACCTCGCTCGATCGAACCCGAAGACGTCGCGGGGGATGCTTTAGGTATGCTCGCGGGCGCAAACTCGTTGCGAAAATTAAGAGCAGCGCATTGTCCAGACTAGGTCACAAAGGTTTTCGAGTCACGCTCTCGAGTAAAATAGTT